CCTGTGATTTTAAATACGTGACCACAAGAATGCCTAGAAATAAATCAAATTTAAGCATCAATGCTATGCATGAAAAATGAGGTAACCATTTTGCTGGAACTTATATATTTATAAGATTCTTAATCACCTAAGATGCGTGTGTATAGGTATAAATATTTCACCGGGTGTTTTCTATTATACGTTATAACGAGAAAGAAGTTATAGTAAAAGACATAAAAAGTAGCAAACATAACAAATAGACACTCTGAAAACATCTAGACAAAAAGTTTGTCCGAAATTTGTTTTTAAAAAAGAAAGAGAGGAAGGAGGTAAATCTTTCTTTAACCAAACTTTTTTGTCGCAAAATAGTAAAATTGATAGCATAGACTGAGAAATTTCTAAGTCACTAACTCACCAGGTGTCAGATAACTCACAAGAGACAGGGTAGGAAAAGAAGTAGTAAGAGACAATAAACATAATTTAAGGTTGTATGCAGCATTTACTTATCGTTTCACATCCTCTGATGTCACACGAGTGAGATGCCTTGCATCGCTTGTTTATTGTAAAACATCAGAACGAAATTTGATATTGTAAGACATTAGAAAATATTCAAAATAAAATATAGAAATGAAATTTTTAGAACGTACTACCTAGCTTATCCACATGGATGATTTTAATTCGTTTGTCTGATAATCCAAAATAAATAAGCTCAACACGATAGTATCGACACATATGTACGTGCGTGCGTACGTACGGAAGAATTTAACAATATAGCAATAGCGGATAAGTATACAAAAGAATGGCGAAAGAATTGTACGCATGCACCCTGTCCACAACAGGATTATTAAGCCACGAAAAGTTAGCGTTAGGATACGATTCACGCACTAACAATGTTGCAAAATTTCAAATTCGAATTCATTAGACGTTACTGTTACCTAATACTAAAAACAAATTTCCAATAACTTGATATAGTTTAACAAATTTTGTATTTATTATTTATATCATTAGATCATGCAAAATTATTAATTGGTTTTCGTAACCTGGCCGGGCCAATTTTTGAAAACTATATAGTAAAAAAATTTTTTTTATGTTTTAATAACCCGATGGGGTTTAAAAAAAAAGAAAAAGAAAAAAAAAAGAAGCCGGCCAGTTAGTTCTGTTTAAAAGTTCATGTTACGAAAACCAAGATATTAAATTTGTGTGGACCTATGTATTCCAATTTTTTTCTTCTTTCTATGGAACCATCAAAAGGCTATGTCAAAATTAGTTAATTGCCTCTCGTAGCCCGGCGGGAATTTTTGAAATAAACATTTATATATATGATAGCTTTGAAGCAAACCTTTTTGTTATGTTTTTTTTTTGTTTAATATGTATATACGTACGTTACTTATGTACGTATATTAGGATTATCTAAATTACCGTTACCGGCACTAATGAAATCGGTGACGGCTGTGCACCACTTACAGATTGAACATCTTTTTAGGAAATCTATACAATTTATCGTGTTAACAAAATGAAAAAAACCAGACTTTTGATCATATAAATGATCGAAGTCTAGTTCTCCTTTGGTATCACCCAAATCTTATTGTAATGAAAGCCACCTTTTATTTACCGATTGCGATTGCCTTACATAGGGAACTGAGTTTTTCCTGCATGTTTTTTTTTTTGCCTTAATAAACACGTTAAGGGATAGCGTCAAAATCCATTTTCGATCTCTTATCTGTCAATTGCATTTAATAAATAATGTTTAAGTTATCTCTCATAGGCAAAATCACGTTAATTTCGATCACATTGCAAGCGATAGTAATCACCATCTTGGAATCTTTTGTTGTTTATTTTCATGTTAATTTCGTTAAACAATATCAATTGAGTCCACAAGGTGATGGAATATCTGAGGCAGACTTAATTTATCATGCAATGTAAGTAATCCTTTACAAATCAACTTTTTAAAAGTTTATTAATTGATTTTTTCTTTCAAGATTTATCCTCTCGCTATTCTTCCAAGTACTTTTAGCAGCTGATGCTCTCTGGCATCGTAATACTGTTCAGATAATAGCCCTTGCTATATTCAATTTTCTTTCATTAATATATGCGGGAATACAACTTTATCAACACAAAATCCTCGAAGACGAAGGAACTCAAGGTGCAACGTAAAAACCAAATACTTCTCTTTTTCCTATAAACGACCCGGAAGCGCCAAAAGTATATTATGAAGCCAGGATGCGGCCACTCGAATATACTATTATTGGCCTAATATCAGGATTTTCAGTATATTTGGCACTCATGTCTTATTTGCTCTCCAGAGAATTTGGTTGGGAAAACTACAAAACTTATTCTGGTGATCTTCTGGTCCACAATACATATTTGTACCTCACAATTTTACAGACATTGATTAAACTGGATGTGTTCTTTATCGGATCATACGCCTTACAACTTATACCTTCTCAACAAATTGGTTATTCATATAGTGTCATAGAAGTTGGCCTTGCCTTTTTTTTCGGTACACTCATGTTGCTGCTTGCTTGGTTCTCAGTCACCATGGAGCTGAAATATCTCCTATTATCGGTGATCAATATTTATTCTATTTCATTGATTTACTGGGCATTTCGACTGGTATCAGTTAACCTTAAACCTTCAGGCGAAACTGGTATTTATTTAGTTACTTTTCCCAATCAAATTCATGGAATGTATATTTATAATTCTGTGTTTTTCTGTCTTTAATTAGATCCATATCAATTCACTCGACGGTTCCTAAGCTTCTTTTTAGCTACAACATTCGTACTTATAGCATTTACTGTATTTTATTCTGTTATTTGTTTTCGAAACATGATGCGTGGAGTTTATGTACTTACGGTATTTGGACAGCCTGAAAATGAATCAGAAGGTAGAAGTCCATATTTAGGCGTAGACAATTTATCACCTACATCACCCAGAATGTCAAAGAGACAAAGTGCAATTCTTCAACAACAACGATTACGAGCACAAGAACCCAAAGTACTTCTAGATTAACCTTAACGACGTATCCATATCTAGAGAATGGTAAAAAACATTTTTAACCTGCTTAAAACAGATGACGTTTATGGTCGTAATTCTGGACTTAAATATATCATAAACGTCAACAGATGGAATTTTTTTTTTTTACCATTCAATAATATAAAGATAGAAATATTATTAGTACATATATTAAAATATCAAATTAGTGTCATAGCGATAGACGTTTGTTCGTATGTATTATTTCGTTTAATGTACAGTATTTATGTTGTTTTAAATAAATACTACCGGTATATCGCAATCTGGTGATCCGAAAAATCGAATGATATAAAAAATTGTCTATTAAACCACTTTATGCCTCAATACTATACCATTCAGATGAATTTTTCGGTTGTTCATTAAGTCACGAGATAGTCTCTATTTGTCAAAATCTGGAATATCGATATGCGGATTATCCGTGATTTGCAAAATTTGTAGTGATCAGTCAACGATTGTCAGTCACAATAACGGCATATTACATTATTAGATCAATATGCGATCGTAACTGTGATTAACAATCATCGCCTGAACGATCATAATAAAATTTGGCTTCGTTATATTCACTTGTATCCGGGTCGAGTGGGCCAGATCTGGAATAAAAACATGATTAGACACGATCTCAAAAGTAAATAAATAAATAAAAATTTGCGATTTGACAGTTGAAGTATTCACCATCTTTGGGTATGGGTATCGATAACTTATCTGTTATATAAATTAATATTTTATCGAATTAACTTTAGGGTTAGAGCCACCTTAAGTTAGGGTTGGTGCACCAAAGTTGGTTCTGACTGCTGTTTTTTAGATTTTTATTTTATTTTTTTATTTTTTTACTTTGTTTTGCTTCGCTGGGATCATCAAATTTTCTATAATTTGATTGGACTATAGTCACATGATTTATCTCTGCCTCCAATTATGTCGATTCAAACATGATGATTGACCAATCTATGCATTTAAAATATATCTTAATAACCGGCGAGGCTGGAGCCTTAGGATTAGTATTAGTAACCTTCAATAAATGATAGTGTTAATACGGTTAACAAAAAATTAACCGTTAATATAGAATAAACAAAAATACGGTAATTTTGGATACCATTCTTGAATATTATGGATTGAGTGTTCTTAAGTATATTGAAGGATAATTTTCTTGGTGTCCATTTGCTTTTGACGAAACAAAAGTGACATTCAAATTTATACAAAATGATGTTCAAATTGTACAAAGTGACATTCGAATTTGTACAAAATGACATTCAAAGTTGTACAAAGTAACATTCAAATTTGTACAAAGTGACATTTAAATTTGTACAAAATTGATTTTCAATACAAAAAACATTTAATATAAGTTTGATTAAACTATGATAACTTAAAATTTAATTTTATTTATCTTAATAAAACATAAAATATCATTTAAATTGAACTACTAGATTTTAAGTTATCACAGTTTAATCAAACTTATATTGACTATCTTTTTGATTAAATTTGAATATCACTTTATACAAATTTGAATGTCACATGTATTAACTTAAGTATCATTTTGTATAAATTTGGGTACATTCATAATGATTACTATATTCCGAGTTTTGTTTATTTTTGAGGTGTTTGATTAAAGATTTTCAGGAAAAAAATTGTTAAAATCAATTTAGTGCGCCGAATTGATCTGTCATTTTTCAATTGGTAAATCGAATTTAAAAATGACGCGTAACATTGTTTTAAAAATCCTAACATTGCCACCAATTAGAAATGGACAATTATTTTTTAATAAGGGGAACGCTTAAAGCGTTGTGCATCTTATGTTTTTGGTTATTTAATTAAAGTTAGTGTTAGGGCACAGGAAGTATTTATATGATTGGTAGCATAGCGGGCTTTAATTTTGATTGGTCAATCACTAAATGTATCGTCACACATTACACAGCATATATCATCTGACTTAAATAAATTGGCAGCCATGAAAATGAATTGTCAAAAGATGCGGCATATAAATTCTGAAACTATACTTTACGCTTTATAACATATCAAAATAATAGAAGTTAGCTATGGGGGTGCACTTTTTATCTTATAGATTAAGGTAATTCAGCAATCAGCAAGGTAATTTGTACTTTGGCTAATAAGTGTTTGTTTTTTTAAAAAAAACTTGAAAATAGCGATTCAGAAAACAATATTCACAGTTTTTTCAATATTTTTTCTTAATACTGTAATATAGGTTATTCGACCAAGTTTTTGAAAGCTATAATATATAGATATAGAGTATGCGTAGGATATGTACGATTACATGATATGTTCTATAGTTAGTTTTTGGTTTTTATACACTATGTGTTTGTGTTACTCTTATTAATAGTTGACGGCTCTTTTTAATTTATTTATATTGTTCATTCTTTATCTCGTCATTAAACTATGTACTAGTTAGGAAGTGATTTTGTTAATAAAGATTATCTATATATGTATTTAGGTTTAAGGACATTCTTTTTATTAAGTTTAACCAGATACGCATTTGACAATAACTATAAATGTCATTGGGTTAAAATTATTATTGTAAATTAAAATTTATAGTTTGAATCTATCTTTTTGTCTAATAATTTCTAAAAATATTTTTTTACTCCGAACTCGTTTTCTATTAGCCAATCAGATTTTAACATCATCAAATGATCCACAAAATTAGCCAATCAGAATGAAAGCCTACCCGTGATTACCCGTAATAATTTACCAATCAAATTACACAATTTTAACTCATTTAATACTAATAGAAAATGAAAAAAAACTTCATATAAAGCTTATATACTAATAAATGTATTCCAAAAAATTTATCTTAAGTATTTAGAAAATAGATATACAGTTGACTCTCTCTAATCCGAACCTCTCTAATCCGAACACTATTAAATTCTCTCTAATCCGAACGAAAAACTCTAGAACATTTGTAAATTTTATTATAGAGTTCGGATTAGCTAATAATAACTCTTTGAGAACTGAACTTTTTAACCAATTTTACATATAAGAACGGACGGGTCGGAATAAACAGAGTTGACTGTATATACGTAAAGTGGATAAATATAATATTTATTACTAATAAACCCAAATGCATTAAGATATAAACCAACTCTTTTAATTTATAGTTAACAAACACTGGTTGAAATAAAGCAAATCAAGCAAATATCAGGCACCAATGTAATACTGATTAATAGCTCCAATTGTGTTATTTTCAGGGTTATATCAGAACTAGAGTTGTTGGTGAAACTAATTAATTTTACCAGGAAACTGGTGCACTAATGGTACACCATCGGTGCACCATTAAAAATTAGTTTCATCTATAACTCTAGTTCATTATCAGTGTACCAGTTTTACCAGTTTTACCTGGTGCACCATTGGTACACTATCGAAGTTTAGTTTCACCTGCAACTCTAATCAAAACTAATGAAGCTATCAGTCAACTATTAGAAACCTGATAGTTAACTAATAGCTCTGTTAGTTCTGATATGACTCTGGAAATAATACAATTAAAGCTATTGTTATAGAATGAGTTTTCTAAATTTTTTATTATTAGTATTATGTAGTATTATTATTAGTATTATTATTATTATATTCTATTGTTGTATTATTATATCGTGTAATATTATTAAGTAGTTTTGCGTAATGTGATGAATGGCAAGAATGGTTACCATTTCTACCATTTCTACCATTTCTACCATTTCTACCATTTCTACTATTTCTACCATTTTTACCA